CCTAACATTATTTGATTATTTGCCCATCGAGTGAATGTTTTCAGCAAAATATCCACACTGACTCCAAGATCTTTCTCTTAAGTGATAACATCTAATTTAGTCCCCAACATTTTGTATGTGTAATTGGGATTGTTTTCCAATATGCATTACTTTCCATTTATCGACATAAAAATTGATCTGCCCAGTTGCCTAGTTTTGTGAAATTTTTGAAGCTCTTCACTGTCTGCTTTGGACGTAACCATCTTGAGCAGTTTAGAATCATCTGCAAATGTTGTTTGCCCCTGTTCACCCCTTTCTCTAGAGCATTTTTGAATCAGTTGAATAGGATGAGTCCCAGGACAGATCCTTGCAGGGCCCACTAGTTACCTCTCTCCATACTGAAAACTGACCATTTATTCCTACCTTCTGTTTCTGTCTTTTTACCAGTTACCAGTCCACGAGAGGACCTTCCCTCTTGCCCCTGACAGCTTACCTTGCTTAAGAGCTCAGTGAGGGCCTTGTCAAAGCTTCCTGGAAATCTGAGTTGTCTCCCAAGTCGTGCTCTTGAATGAGTTGTGAACATTCAAGTGCGGTAGTGGGGCCACGTCCCGTGTGCGGGAAGAGGTGCTTTCCAGAAGGGTTATGGACTCGGGTTAAAGGCAGAAGAGCAACAAGGCCAGCTGAGAGTGAGGTTGGAAGGTGCCATTTGGAAGGGTTTAGGAAACCCAGCCCCTCCTATTGACCCTTGCTGAAGGACGAAGGCTTGCCTGGGGCCGTTCCAGATGGACACGGGTTCTGTGTGCTCCCATGGCTACCTCAGAGCCCTGTGACTCTGCTGTTACTGCCCATAGCAATGCATTGTTGCTTGATCTGTACCCACACTGACAGTGTGTGCTGCACTGGTGGGCGTGGAACTGTGGGCTCGGTGTGGGCTTCCGTGCCAGCACCGTCAGCAGGTGCTCAGTGGCCCGCAGATGGCGTGGGCCATATTCTTTGCAGAGGGGCCAGCAGCTGTTGACCATTTGAGCAACTGGGTTTTTAATTGGAGGATTCTGCAACACCCCCAGCGGAGTTGGGGTCTGGTTCCAGGGGGAAATAGAAAAGGATTTTGCCTTCTCTTTGAACTTGCGCTTCAGGGAAGTGGGGCCTTTTTTTCTGCTTTTAGGTCTAAGTCCTAAAGTAGCAACCCAGCTGTTCCCGCCTGCAATTGACCTTCGAGTAGGGAAGACTTCCTGATGTTCCGCCTGACCTGTCCTTCGTGTTGTTACGTTGCGTTACTCCTGGGACTTTGTGGTCCTCTCAAACTCAGCTGTGTGGCTGCTAGAGCGAGAAAACGGGGTGTCTTCTAGTTCTTGCTCAGTGGTCAGCTCACGATGGGTCACTGCTGTGCACGTCCCAATGTCTTGCTCAGTCTGGCTTTTAATGAGCAAAGGTCCACCCAGCTCAGTGTCCTGTCTGCCCACAGTGGCCAGGGCCCGGTGCCCCTGAGGGGATGAACAGCTCTGCTCTCCTCCTCCTGGGATGGGATTCTACCCGCAGATCTGTTCATTACCGGACATTCAACCCACACGTTGCTTCGTGGATGGTTTGTCCCAGCCTGTGTAGTTCTGCCTGCCATGGGCTCTCGATGGTCCCTCTCTCTGTGTGGGATACACACTCTGACTTTCTCTTAGTAGTCCTTGTTTGGACTAACGGCTGGGCCCGTGCTGAATTCTGGTAACCCTTTCTCCCAGCGCCAGCCCCGCCACTCTACCATTGTTTAACACTCTTCTCTGAGCTCTCAAACTCAAAGGGCTGAGTTGGGGCCGCCCAGTGAAATCTGTACAGGGCCAGGAATTGGAACTCCTGTCTCCTGACTCTTAGTCCTGTGCCTTCGCCTCAAGGCCATTCTTGTGCTTTAATTAACGTCTTTGTTAAATCAGCCAGACTTCTGGGGCAGCTCCCTGACGTCCTCCTTGCCCGACTCCAGACTGCTAGTTTATCCTTACTCTGGTAATAGGCTTTAGCTCCGTTCTCAGCCCTTGTGACCATGCTTAAACGCCAGGCACTTTTGCTAAACGAGGGAGTTACATGAGCCACTGCACGGTTGTGTGGGGTTACGCACCTCCAAATCGTGGCAGCCATTTCCCGCCACGGTGGAACATGGTGTGTGGCTCACCGTTTGAAAACAACAGTCCTAGTGAACGGGCTCTGAGACCTGCAGAGGTGAAGTGACAAGACCAAGCAGAGAGCAAATTTTTGGCTGAATTAGGAGCACACACCCTGGTATTCCCCATTCTCAGCCTTTGCCACAAGTAATCCTCCTCAGTGTTTGGGCCTGCTGAGACTCTTAGGGAAAGGTGCTGATAGTGCTGACTCTTAGGGAAAGGTGCTGACATTGTGTGGTAGTGTGTATAAAACCCGAATGCTTAGGGGTTTGGAACAGCTGCCACGTGAGGAGAGATCAGTAAGACTGGGACTTTTCAGTTTGAAAAAGAGGTGACTAGGGGCTATGCTAGAGGTCTCGAAAATCATTACAGGTATGGAGAAAGTGAATAAGGAAAAGTTATTTACTTATTCCCACAATATAAGAACTAGGGGTCACCAAATAAAATGAATAGGTAGCAGGTTTAAAACAAACCAAAGGAAGTTTTTCTTTACTCGGCGCACAGTCAACTTGTGGAACTCCTTGCCAAAGGAGGTTATGAAGACCAGGACTTCAACAGGGTTCAAAAAAAAATCTAGATATGTTCACGGAGGCTAGGCCTGTCAATACTTATTAGCCAGAATGGGTAGGAATGGTGACCCCGGTCTCTGTTTGTCAGGGGCCAGAAATGGATGAGAGGAGAGGGCTCACTTGATGGCATTGTCTGACAGGATATTGAGCTAGATGGACCCTTGGTCTGACCCAGTCTGGCAGTTATGTCCTTATGTTCAAAGTGATGCAGTGGCGAAAAAGGCTAATGTATTCTGGGATACACTAACAGAAGTGTTCGTAAGATGTGGGAGATAATTGACGCACTCTGCTTGGTACTAGTGAGGCCTCAGCTGGAGTCCTGTGCCCATATTGGGGATTCACACTTTAAGAAAGATATGGCCAAACCAGAGAGAGGAACAAATAAATTAATAATAATAAATAATAATCACTGGAACAGATTACCAAGGGAGATTGTGCACCTGTGCAGGTGGAGGTTTTTAAGAACAGGTTAGACAAACATGATTTAGGGGTACTTGGTCCTGCCTTAGCATGGCGGGGTGGACGAGACGGCCTCTGTGTTCCTTGTAATTCAGTATTTCTGTGTTGTGTTCCCCCCTGGGGTGGTGGAAATCAGGCGGTGTGGCGCTTGTTGGCCTATACGTTCTGTGCCCTGGCCTAGGAAGGAATGGGACTTCCTCCTTTCCACATACTTTTCTGTCAAAGGCAGTGCAGAACATCAGCTGCACCTATTTAGGATTCCTGCTACTTCAGGAGCTGAAGGGCTGGACTTGAATGATCCAGATGTGCCGTTGGGAGAGCAGGAGTGTGTTTGAACACACCTGGGGTAAGAATGGAATGAAGTTAAGGGAAGCTTTAGTAGGCGGTGGAGGTGGAGCTGCATCTGCCGAGTGAGCACAGGAGAAGCCAGGTCCCAGGCTGCCGTGTGCGTGGGGGTCGGGGTGAGCACTGGAGGGTGATTACTGGAACCCCAGTGCTGCTGTGCCGGGGGAAGTGGAAGGAAACACACCCAAACCTCCTGTCAAGCATGTTCTCCTCTCCCCAACCTCTCTTGCTGTTGGAGGCAGCAATTACTGCTGCAGACAGCCTTGAAGAGCCGTGCTGATGACTTTAATTAGACGTCTATTCAGATCAGCCATAGGAAGAGCAATTATTGATTTAAAAAATGCTCCACGATTAACTGTTTGGTCTCCATCTTTGTGCTCCTGTCCCAGCCAGGCTGCAGCTTGCTTGGTTTTATGCCTTTCTTTGGGCCCTGGAGGGGCGCGTGTGTGGGCCCTTGGCTCTGTAATGACTCGTGTAGGTAGCAAGTTAGTTTTGCGTGTGGTGTGTAGAGGTGTAAACGACTGGGTGACTAGCCGATGGGCATAAGCTTGTCGAGTAGTCGCTTCGCCCCCCTGCCCCAGTGGCTCTATCCGAGAGAGGCAGCAAAGGGGGAGCAGGAGCCAATGCTGGGGGAGCGGGCCTAATAGCTGCTTTCCCCCAGCCCCGTCTGTGTGGGGCAGCCCTGTTGTGCCTCTCCCTTTGAAATGTACAAGAGCCCGGGCTGCGCAGCGCGCTAATGAGCGCTCCCTTCTCCACTACTTGATTAGTCGATTAATCCAAGTGTAACGTCCCTAGTGGTGCGGCTCGCACTCCTCTTTGTTACCTTGTCATCGTTGGGGACCGTAGGGCAGAAGCTGGGCCAGAGGAGGCACAGACTGGGCAGGAGGCAAAGCTGATGGGTAAACAAGAAAAGAGCCCGGGCTGCGCAGCGCGCTAATGAGCGCTCCCTTCTCCACTACTTGATTAGTCGATTAATCCAAGTGTAACGTCCCTAGTGGTGCGGCTCGCACTCCTCTTTGTTACCTTGTCATCGTTGGGGACCGTAGGGCAGAAGCTGGGCCAGAGGAGGCACAGACTGGGCAGGAGGCAAAGCTGATGGGTAAACAAGAAAATGGGCTGGCCCTGCCTGGCAAGGCCAAGGCTGGGCGGGGCTTGGGGTAGCTCACTGGCGTCGTTTCGTGGCCTTTGTATCTCCAGGGCCCAGCCTAGGCAGCTTGCCTGGCTTCTCTCGCTAGCTCTGACTCGGAAACTGCGTAGCATTAGGACCCAGCGGGCTGGCAAAATCTGTGACAAGAGTCTGGAGCAGCACTAGCGCAAAGTGAGTCTCGTCAGCTGGGCTGGATTTTTGTGTAGCCCTGTATTCAAGAATCCTCTGACAGAAAAGGGCTTTTCCCTCTGGGCAGCTGGACGGAGCGCAGCTTGCGGGGTATGGTCGGATCAGCTGCAACATAAAGGCCAAATCCATCCTGACCTACCACTAGCCAT